TGTCAATAACCCTTATTTGGGGGATTTTTGGGTTAAGTAGGGGTCGATGAGAGGCTTCTGGGTGTTGACCTCATTGAGAGTTTTGATCGTCATGCTGAAAATTATCTTTATTTCGACTAATTTAACTTAAACTTATTCTCCATAAGAAATCTGTTGAGTTCTGGGGCTTGACTTAGACATTTTATGTCGTAGAAACATCACACACGCGCAACAATCTTTTTTTTCCTCCTCGAATTCACAGTACCCAATCCAGCAGTCTAGTGTTATGTACCAGATGGTGCAGTTTTCGTGTCGGTACTGTTCTAAGCTCCCTCGGTTCTAGTCTTGGTTTCCCGAATAGTTGATGTCTTTACTACTGCTTCCCGAAGCCAAGCCTTGTTATCGAAGGTCATCCAGAGGACCCTTCCGCTAAGCGTGGAGTTGAGGAATTATAGAGGACGTGTGTTCGTGCGCTCCTCGTCCTGTGCCGTTTGCAATCTTCTCAAGACCAGACCCACTTGCCTCTATTTAAGGGTTATGTCCAGATGTCTATCAATTACCGGCAACCGGTTTGAAGCTGCCTCACTATAAGACTTGGCAGGCCCTTTGTCCTGGCTAGGCCTTTAATTACTTTTTTGAGGAGTCTCGTTTACCCCTTGTCTGACTCTACCCATCAGTCTGGTTTCCTTCGGGTCTGTTTGTGCCCTGGGAAGTTTGGCCAAAGGGCTCTTGCATCCCTGTGCTTCCCTATTATTTTTGTGACGAGGGTCCTTTTTGTACGGATTATGGTCTATCCTAGTCCTTTCACAATTTTCCTCCTCTGGGCTCCTAAACGCTTTCTCAACTCTTCCTTTTGCAGTCCCATCCAACTGATGCCTTGCGTTCCTCCAGGTTCACCATTTTTGTGTCCTGAATTTAATTCCATGACAGCATCTTCCTTCGAAGAGTCCGTGTCCCTCTCTGTTTCCCTCCCCTCCTCTCCTTCATTTTTTTATTTTCTCACTGGTCAGTGTTGCTCTCACGACTGCCAGGTTAGGAGGATCAGAGGTGATTCCGACTCGGCGCCCACTGGTTGTCAGAAGGCTCCAATCAAGACACCGTTTCCCCTGGTGTCATTCATTCTTTTGCCGATTGGTGAATTTTTTCTAAATTTTGGCAGCAGTGATGGGCACAATGTATAGAATACCAGATAGTGACGTTAGGCTTACTCACGGACGTCAAAACATTACTGAACCGTGACCCGACAACTACAAAAGTAATATTGTTAAGAGCGTCAAGAACAAGGCGATTTGTGAACTAGGATTCACTTCATTTAAGGACGGAAAGATGTATTATCTAAAGTGCAGTGACTGCAGAAAAAAGGTCTTCAATTCAGCTACATGTCGGTTAAAGTCCTACGTGAAAATTAACCTTTATCGTATTGTAACATGCGGCGATCAGCACAATATTTCAAAAAAAATGTCTTGCCTAACACAAGCATAGGTCAATTCAGAAGGTTACCGAAAAGAGCTTTTGAACTTGTGGGAGTATTTGGAGTAAAATAAATAGTCGGCAATGCTAGTAACAGCCGTAATCGCAGCCGAATCCATTCCACGCCCAACGGGTCCCACAGCATCCTCAATAAGTACAAAAGCTCTAGCTCACTCAGCGTGATTTTTGATTCCAGAAGGTATTTATTCTATTTTATTTTATTTGAGAAGTTTTTCTAATTTATTTAAATATACAGGGTGACTTCGAAGTTGAGTCATTTATTTTAACAGTGAGTAGATCTGATCAAAAGAAATGTTTTTTCCTTTACCATTTTTCTGGTAAAATTAAAGTAACAAAGTTGTAGCCCTTTGGAAGTTTGAGTACCGCCCTGTCTCAATAATAATATCATGTGCTCGTGTTTGGCAACAACGGATATAATCCGCCTTATCGGTTCATCGCATCGGAAACAAAAAAGCGAAAGAATTTGGAACGATGTTTTTACAATTATTTTATTCAGTTCAGTTATACATACAGTCAGTGTCAGTCGGTAAGGCGTGTGAATAGTGTTTGTTGCGTGGCTCAAACGAAATAAAAGATGGCACATGCTTATGCGGATTGGTTTCCCAATCGAGTGCAACCAACCCCTCGTGCCTTTGTTAATGTAGTACAACGGGCTCGTGAATCAGGTGACTTAAGACCTCACAGGGGACCTCACGATCAAATACAGGTCCGCACTGAAATACTTGTCGGGAGGATACTTTATAAAACAAGGTAAACATTTTTTTTTTATTTCTTTTTTATTTTTACACACATGTTTTGGTTTATCTTCCTTCTACAATCATTATCTGAAAATTAATGACTCATCTTCAAGTCACCCTATATATCTATTCAGTTCGTAATAATTCAAAATCCAGTTTTACAGGGTTGCACATATCTAAGCAAGCTAGTTGAAGTATGGTTTGCTATTGTACATATTGTTAAAATTGTATACATTAATATCAAGACGTGTACAGGGTGTTCCGAATTCGACCCTCACCACTGTGATCTCGGAGAATAAGAGATATGAAATCGCTTAAATGAAGGCAAAGTTGCGTATTTAGATAATCTACCAAATTCCGTTTCGAAACTTCATAAACCAAAGTACTCCCTGAGAGAGACAAAAAATTGCGCAACAACACTTCCACTTTTTCTCCTACACAAGATGGTATAATTAGAAATTCAATGTGACGTTTTATCCGATGTCCTCCAGCATCAATCCTATTTTTCCTTATTATTGGACCTTTGCACATACGAATAGTTTTTCAGATTCCAAAAACTTATAATACATTGTCGCTGCAAAATCTTAGTTATTTCAAAGGAATAGAATTTTCTAGGTAGGCCTTGAAATAACTAGATCATTTGCTTAGTCTCCTAGGTTTATCCGGAAATCACTCTTATTTTTTTCCTGACTTTATTTGAGATCAGATTTCACAATAAATTGCACATCAACATTGCCAATTTTTCACCTATGTCATATATCAACATTGCCAAGCCTTAGTTATTCCAGTAATACGAATTTTCTAAATAGGCTTTGAAATTATCAGATTTCATTTGCTTTGTACACCAGACCAGACCTCAAGTTGAACATACTAAGAGAGTTTGGAAGATTGAGAGGAACAAAAATATATAGAGCAGTGAACTATGTACAGAGCAGAGTCATGCGCCTACAAAATAACAGAAAACGTTTTCAACATCTGCTATGATTTACCTTTGCTTATGTGTGATTATTATTGTTCTTACCATCAACAAAATTTTTATTTTGTGTTTAGATCTCACCACACCTTTTTAGTTCGTTATAATTTCCATCGAACAACAAATTCGTGTCTAACTAAAGAAATACATCGGATTAATTAGGATTGAAACGTCCATTTAAATGTAAGTTGATGATGGAAGTCGAAAGAAGAAACGTTGAATGAAAATTTGGAGAACAAGTAACAATCACATGTAATTTATTTTGAATTTCCATCTCAAATAAAGTCAGAAGAAAATAGAAGTAATTTTGGATAAAGTTGGTAAGAGAAAAAAATTACTGATAATTTAAAGGCCTACCTAGGAAATTCTGCTTTTTTGAAACAGCTAGGGTTAAACAAGGTCAATGTATGACGTATTATATATTCTTAGAGACAGAATTAAAAACTCTATTCATCTGGGCAAAAATCCAGTATGGCGTCCATAGAAAAAGTTGATGCTGGAGGACAAGACCCGAAATGTCATATTGAAATTATAACTGTGCCATCTTTTAGAGGAGAAAAAGTAGCAATGTCAATGTACAATTATTCATTTTGAAATTCCACTACAAATGTACAAATGTTAGAAAAATAAAAACTCGATTCTTTCTGTCTAGCACCGAAAGTGCTTCGAGTTTCGAAACCTTCTAAAAGCTACTACACACAAGCCGGCGGCAATGCCGCCGGGTTTATGCCGAGCGGCTATGCCGTCGGCAATACAAGCCGCCAAGCATCATTCCGGTTGTGACAGTGACATAGAACGCTAGTGAAGTGCATATTTTATGGTTGGTTGGTTAAAATGAATAAGGAAATCATCAGCACAGCCGCCGCAGTTGTAATTTTTATTTTAATAAGAAAAAAATACAAAAGGACGAGAAGGTTTTGGTTGCACCCAAGTTTACAAAATAGAAAATGGCGGAACGGTACTGTAATGATAGAAGAGTATAAAAAAGATGATGTGGGGTATCAGCGTTTGCGCAATAGCATGTTTTTTAAGTTTCTGTACATCTTCTATGCCTGCACCGGATTTGTGCAACTGTTCGAACTTCTTTTTTTCCCGAAAATAATACGAGTTTCGATTGTTCCTATTCTTATAGTCTGCATTTCTGGGATTCCATAATATATCATTTTCATGAATTTTTTCAATTAAGAGCAGCACAGCTTTGTCGTCCCAATTAAAAGACATTTTAATTTGTTTAAACACACAAACCGCACAACACTACCTCTCGAATGCCAGGAACGAAGTGACGCCGGCAAGCCGCGTAACCCGCCGGCATTGCCGCCGTGGTGTGACGACGAAGCTGTGCTGCTCTTAATTGAATAATTTTCTTGAAAATGATATATTATGGAATCCCAGAAATGCAGCACTTCACTAGCTTTCTATGTGACTGTCACAACCGGAATGATGCTTGACGGCTTTGCGCGGCTTGTGCCGGCGGCTTGTATTGCCGGCGGCATAGCCGCTCGGCATACACCCGGCGGCATTGCCGCCGGCACTGTGTGTAGCAGCCTTAAGCGACATTTTTGTGATTACGACTTATCATTAACACCCTATATAATCTGAAGCAAAATAGTTCACAGTTTATTTGTGAGATTGAGCCGCAACTGACAGCAGTCGGGTGGCGGAGGCATGAGGATATTTTTTTTTTTGATAATACAAACAAACACGAAACTTTTACAAAACAGCTACTTTTATTTAAGAACAAAATGGCGAAGTCGTCTAACACAGAACCCCTTTTTGATTCAGCTGTACCTGCTCTGTCAGAGCTGTCAGCTGGCTGTCAGAGTAAATATGTCAGATATGGTTGTCAGTAAGAAAGTCTCCGCAAAATTGGAAACTAAATTTAAAGTGATATATCAAAAAGCATTAGCCGTGACGTAATTATTTCAACAAAACTTGACAATGAAGTCAAATACTTCTCTTGTTACTGCCAGATCCAGGTAAATGCTAACAGTTTTTCCTAATGTATAATAGAAGGGATCTCAAGATGTATTTAGCTACTAATAGTTTTTCTGGGAGATCCCCTTAACAGTTTAAAAATACTATTCAAGTTTAGTTATAAATAAGCGAAAATTATAGCAGTGCTGTGAGAATTATCTACCAGAAAAGTTACTATGAGAGTTTCATGTTTGCAGTCGTAACCGAAATATGTTCGGATCCAACAGCAGAACACGAGCTAACCAAAGTTACATACACAGCTTAGTATCCTATAGGGCCATAGATTGTATGTTGATGACATCTGTTACATTCTAGATCAAAGTCAATAGGCTCGAGATTACCCGAGCAGGATGGAGGAAATAGGAATGCTCTTACTATCTGTTCTGACGGTAAAGACATATACTCCAGCATCCTAGGACCCACCGCTGATGAAACACTCCTGTTGGGCCTACAAACCTTTCTAGGTAGGCCTCATAAAGATGCAATCATCGGAGAGGTATCTAGATTTGAAGTATTGAGTTTCAATTCCTTCCCTGAACTTCCACATTCACTTCGCCAGATCTCCCAATTTCTCAAGTAACCTCACTTAAGAATGGAAAGATTGTCCAGACAAATACATCTTTCTCTTTTCATTTAAATTTTCTCTTTGGATTGATGTGAATATAAAATATAGGAAGAGCCTGAAAAATAGATGGAGTTGTAGGAGCTGAAGCTCGTACAGGCGTTTCGGTTGCCGTGGCTGTTACAAGAGTTATTATATGAAAAAGGCAGAAATTATCTAATATCGTCTATCTTTTATCTTTGGAGACGAGAGTCGATTGTCAACCCTTACGCAAAAGCATGCGTACCATCATACACGGTGTTGAAATTCAAAACGATTCTATGAGTAATTTCAAGACATAAAGTTCATATAAATAAACATAGGTCCGCAAATTCTTCGTTCTCATAATACAGGGTGTGAAAATTAAAAAAAAAATGGTTTCTTGTAAATTTCTTAAATAGCCCTTACTTAATTTTGTTGCAATTTGGCAGATTTATAACATTAAGGAGTTAACTAGATTAAACTCATTAAGTACAGTGGCGTCATCTGAACGGATATTTGTGTACGCTATTGACTTTTGTGCAATTTTTGTTATGTTCTTTGAATTAAGCAAATAGAAATAGAACTTTTCCTTATTTGAATTTTTTTGTATCTTGCTTAGTTTTCGAGAAAAAGGTCCACACAAAGAATAATAGGGAAAGTATTAATCAGTCTAGTAAAACTAATTAGTTTAGATTAATTTAGATGTAATTGCACAACAATCAGTGGCGTACACTTTTTGTCACAGATATTCCTTCAAATCCAGCTCGGGCTGCCACCGGACTTCAAAAATTTAATCAAGTTGGGGCTAGATTAGCTCCTTAATATTTTAAATGCCACCGCCAAATTATAACAAAATTAGGTAAAGGATATTTAAACTTTTTTTTTAATTCCAAACCCTGTATCTTGAGAACGCAGAATTTGCGGACGTACGTTTATATGAAGTTTTTGTCTTAAAACTACTAAAAAAATTGTAAAATTCATGGTAGGTACATAACTTATTAACACCCTGTATAGTAGAACCAAACAATGCATATATATCGAAACTTAGCGAATATTATGCTTTCGTGGATGTATTAATTTATCTTATCTTTTATGCCAGGTTTTGGCTCAAGCGGTGAGGACGGTTCCACTCGAGCAAGGTAAGTCAGCATCAGTAAGTACTACTTATCATTAAAGCATTTCCGACTGAGAGTAGGTAAAAGGATCTAAAATATTTTTAGAAGCTTCAAACGATACATTGCTTTCTATAGCTTCAATCCAGCTTTGTGAACACGTATTTTTGATGTAACGGTCGAGTTCTTGAAAGTGGTAAACTTGGTAGTGCTGCTGGAACTATAAGCACATACACGCTTGATGATGAAATGACTACTACTGCTTAGGCTGACATGGTAAACATACAAACGCAGTATTTACATTCCGAGTGATTCAAATTCGACTCTTACTAGTGGGATTTTGAAAGCTGTAAGAGATACCAACTTGACTGCACAGGGCAAAGTTGCGCATTTAGCTATCTAAGAGTTCCGTAATCCAGCGTATTTCCGGATGTAAGCGAAAGAAACAGAATTTTCTCATCGGTTTAGATATGATGAATGATATCAAATATGTTTAGCTGCAACGTGATCGATGCATTTATGTCAAAATGTTGCAGTTACATAAAATACAAACTATTATGCAATTTCAATGTATAATATATATTTTGAATCAGAATTAAAAACTCTATCCAACTGTGCAAAAATTCAATGTGCACCGAGCAATGTAAAGAAAAAAGTCGGGCCTTGCTTACAAAATGAAGGACAATTCTTAGAACATCTACTAAGCTTAATATCAGCTTATTTCCACCATACCTTTACATTTCTATATCATTCATGGACGACTAAGAAATATAAAAATAAAATAAAATAAAGGTAAAATGCATCAGTGACTTCAGAACTGAAAGCTCCATTTAAATGTCCAAAATTCTAACATAGCTCCGCATATGAAAAAACAAAGTGGGTGGTGGAAAATGAAAAATTTAACTACGTCGACTTGTAGATGAGAAAAAGTGACATTGAAAACCTGTAATTTACTTTGAAATCCTATCTCAAGTAAAGTCAGGAAAATAAAAGATGATTTTCGCATAAATCCAGTATACGAAACAAATGACCAGGTATACGCGTATGATAATTTGAAGGACGACTTAGAAAAATCTTTTTTTTGAAATAGCTAAGTGTAATACTAATCTATGACTCATGATACTTTTATCGAATCAGAGTTTAAAACTCTATCCACCTGTACAAATATCCAATATGGCGTCCATAAGAAAGATGAAGTTGATGCTGGCGGATAAGAGATGAAACTTCATGTTGAAATTTTAATCATGTCATTTATTCTGAAATCGCACTACAAATAAAGTCAGGAAAAAATTAAAACGATTTTGGGAAAGATTTGATTTTTTTTTCGACTCTCTCCGGAAGTACTTTGAATGTTTGTATTACCCCATTTAAGCTTCTTCGTATCACTTACAGTTTCCGAGATCCCAAAGGTAAGTGGCGAATTTCAAACACCCGGTATACGGTATTTGGGTGTATCAGCACATTATCACGAAAATACAGCGGTACAGCAAGTGTTTTAGCATCAAAGTTTAGTCACACCTTCCTTTTGCCCATGTTGAATTGTACGAAAAATTTAATTCGAAGTAAACCATTCTTAATTTTTTTTTTATTTTCTTAGACACTAGCTGTCTATCCTGTCATACGAACACGACCAGTGTATCATAACTCATAACTAATTTCTGATATCCTTCAGGATAGCAGGCAGTACTGTTCAAGCTTCTGAGATAGAAGACAAGAGAAAATACAGTATAGCAGGTGGAACTAGCTTTGGTGGTGAGAGTATTCTTGGTGGAGAAACTCTCCTAGGGGCCGACAGCATTTTACATGGTGAAATTCTTGTGGGTGGTGAAAGTATCGTCGGTGGTCAGGGTGTTGTGGGTGGTGAAAGTATGGTGGGTGATCAAAGTCTAGTGGGTGATGTAAGTTTGGGTGGTGTAAGTTTTGGTGGCGTAACTGGCCATGCTAGCGAGGGAGATGCTACAATGAGTATGAAAAGCAGAAAAGTGTCACCTTGTAAGCTGAAATGCCCGGAGAAGACCTATGTTGAGCAAGGCGTACAAACTCTTCCTCCTGGATATGCCATAAAGTGCAACAAGGCTGTTGCATGTCCACCCAGGTGTCGGGTTGGAATACAAGAAAGTGGCGAAAGCATACTTCACCTATCTGATTCAATGGTTAGTAGTATTAATACCTTTCGTTTCCTAGGATGTGCCCTAAATACTGTGATTATGAAAAGTTTTAAATTTAAAGCACGTTTCATGCTTCAAAAGAACCTCAGGGCCATTCCACATAACTTGACGAAACCTACGAAATGTCAATAACTCACTCATTACTGTAATAATGAGTCAGATGATGTTGAAGATCTTGCAGTATCCCTTTTCAAAAGCTTAATTCTCACAAAGCTTCAATTAGAGGCTTCTTCAAATATTTGAGAGCTGACAAGAGCAGAACTGGACCTTTTCCAAAGTAGCCCAATTCGACATTTTGTGGCAAATTGAAAATTAAGTGTTTACCGTTACAGTGTCTGCAATATGTGAAATGACATAATATCAGTATGCCCCGTCAGAATGCGGAGAGCATTGGTCCTACGACGGATTAGTAAAACTACAGAAATTACTTCCGCACATGGTGAATCAAATCACCCAAAACCTTGGTAAAAGGATTTTATCTATTTCTGTACTTGTCGTTCTAAGAACTGCATTCAATACAGTGAATCACAATCTACTGTTAGAGATTTTAGACAAATTAGGTATTCGTGGAAAAATATATTCTTTAATGCAAAGTCATTTATCGAAAAGGCCCTAAGTATTAAAACCATCAAAATCATATACTAAGGAAATGTTTGTCAAATCTGGTGTACCTTGGGGTACTTTGCTAGTCACTCTTTCCTTTGATATCTATTTGTTTGGTAGATTCAGGGTTAGCTATGTGGATGTGGTAAAATAATCAGTTTTTCTGATGATGCGTTAAGATATATGTAATATATCAGGACAAGGATGGTATGATGTAAATAGAACAATCGAGAATAGCTATCCGATTATTGAAATACAATTTCCTTTAAAATAAATAATAGAAATTAAAAAATTGACACAGACGACAATAACAATTATTTGAGATTTATTAGACCAACATGTAAGGTTCGTGCAGACTATATTTTGAAAAAAATAAGATTTGTTAAAATTTAATTCGTTACAGGCATATTAACAGGAAATTATATGCGTATTATTTATTTCTTAATGGAGGCGCAACTGATGTATGGCATATTGGCGTGGGGTACAGCATGCCCAGCGTAATTAAACGATACAGACGTTCCACAGAGGACTGTTCCAAAAACCGTATTCGAAAAATCAGATCTACGAGCCCCTTCCACTTCAGTTGGCCCACTTCAAGATTTGTACCAAAATATGCCTTTATGAACTAAACATGACGAAACTATTTACTTCTGAAACAATTTAGTTTCTCAAAAACATTTTGGATACACTCTAGTCATATTTGAAATTACTTAGACCTATAACTAATAGAACATCTGAACAAATAAACAATGTGCGAATAAATGTGCGAAGTTAACAAAGCAACAATTGAAAGATTACCATTGGGTAACATCACCTTTATTTTTTATTACGGCTGAAATTCTTTGGGCCATAGTGTTAGTTTTGGCAAAAATTTGGTGTAAAACAATCCCATATTTCTTGAAATTTTTGTCTCAGTTCGGTGATTGTACGAGCAAGATGTTGTCGTAGAACCTTTTTCACCTCGTGCCACAAAGTTTCAATAGGTGACAGATCTAGACTGCTAGAAACCCATTTCAAAAGTGGTACATTATTTTCTTCCATCCATTTTATAGCCTTTTTTGAGGTATGGCACGCTGCACCATCTTGCTGAAACACAAAATCTTGGCCGGATGTCAAACATTCTTCCATCAATAAAATGAAGTTTTCCTACCCCTTTTGATGAGATACTGCCCCAGACTATAATGGTTGCTGGAAATTTCACTTTTCTCTTCAGACGGTCAACATGGAATGCTTCACTTTTTTGCGAATAAGTCTACTGCTACTGTCACCAACACAAACTTCGAATCGGGCCTCATCACTCCATTGTATTGCACACCATTGTTGAGGTGTCCATTGTCTATGTTATTTAGCCCATCTAAGCCGATTTTTCTCTTGCAGTGGAGTTAATAGTGGCCTTTCTTTGGCCTATAAACAAGTTGTGCAACTTTAGGGTTTTTACTTCACCTTTTTTTATAAGAAAACTTACCTTGCAAGTGCTAAATCCCAGTTTGTGGGCCTCTCTATGAGTTGTGGACCTCGAAATTCTCCTTCCAGCAGCGTCTCTCTACAGAGCACTTAATTGTAAATAATTGGCACGCCTGTTTTTCACGATTATTCTTCTTAATGCTCTTCGGTCGGCATTTGTGATATTACTTTTTTTCACATATCGTGGCTTAATATTAACTGAACCAGTTACGTTATATCTTCTAACAATATTTCTCACACTGTACCGCGATAAGTCTAACAAAGTTGCAATTTCTGAGTTTAATTTCCCAGAATTAAAAAAATTAATTATCAGTAACCAAATTTTCTCACTAATGACCTTGCCTCTACCCATTTTGAAAACCTTAACTACCCAAAACTATTTTAAACGTATTCTGACAGTTGTGATTAATAAAAACAATTGTCATGGCATTTATTTTTCACAACCACCTATGCGTTATAGACATATTTTGCATTGAAATGAAAATAGGTTGATATGCTGTAATTGCAACATGTGTTATTTTTATGCTGCAAATTTGATTAGGGAGTGATAAAGTTGCTGTTTTCTACTATATATTATCAAAATGCTCATTGTTAATATTTTAAACCTATAACACCCTGCTACATTTTTATTATTTGTGTTTGATAAGAAAATAAGTAAGATTTCAATAGTTGGGCCAACTGAAGTGGGAAGGGGCTCGTATATTCAACAAGCGATTCGTACAACGATACAAAATTATTTGATATTACACATCTTCATTTCTTACATACTATCAGCCATTATCACAAAGTTGTCTGTGAGCGCGATAAAATCACACATTGCCATCATACTCTATGAGTGTAAAAACTATCATTTTTTACATATACCCCTTTGATGTATATTTTTCTTTAAGGTTATTTAAATCTTTTTGTTTTGCTTATGAAATATCACATGTTCCATCATGCAACTGATTTAGGTAAAGGCATTGCCTTCTGTTGATTAAAACATATCTATTTACCCATTTTATATAATTATTAGTTTGATACCGAGTAAATAAATATTTACTACCACTACATTAACCTCCCTCACATATACATATCGAAACGGCCAGTGTGCGCGAACGTGTGTAAACCCTAAGACACACGTTTTTTTAACTATGTCTGGCTACGTTGGAAATGTACGAATGAGTCTGCCATACTCATGGTCCTCACTGTCACTATGACAGCATGCTTATCATATGTGTGCGATTTGTGTTTACTCCTGTTGGTTTTCGAAATGAAACTGCCTAAAAACACCAGTTCGAACGAGTAGTCAAGGATCGGCTTGCGCAACTGTCCTTAGGAAAGATAAGCTACTGACATAGTATCATTAGTCAATCTGTTTACTTATCTCGTACGACGTTGTGAAGTAACCGCCAAATCCCGTGAATAAAATTTTAGGCATGTTTGTACCCCATTTCTCTGTCCCTTTGAGTCAATCACTTGAATTACGGGAACTGTTTTGTAGGTTGGTACGGATGAAAGGTTCAACTTTGGAGGACAAACTCCAGGTCTCCGTATAGGCTCATCTGCATCGCAAACTGGAGATCTGCTAAACACCAGCAGTTCACAGACGTCAAGGGTAAACCTCAGTCATGCTTCGTTGCAAACTCAAAGACGTAAGTAACTATGTTTTAGCTGATTGTAGAAGATAACAGGTAACACACAACTGGCGGCTCCTGTGGAATATATGTATTACCATCCAAATAAAAATATAGAATACTGTTACGAACAATATCCCAAACTGGGTTCAAACGGTTAATGGTATAAATTTTATCGAGCTCGAATCAATCTTCTAAATAAGTAAAAGCTATTTCTCCAAGATCTATGAGGCGTATCGGAGCAACATACATGATGTCCCAACCTGTAGGGCTTAGCTCGAGTGCCATTTTTCAATGACATGGCGTAGACATTTTCTATGTCTTGTAAGTGGCGTAGAGACCCAGATGATGATGAAACGGTAAACATTAACGGTGGGCATTACCACAAATATGAGATTTTGAAGAGACCTTGAAACAGTTACAAGCGCATTTTCCTGTTGTTGGCCGCAATCTTCTTAGCCGTTTTTGGTAAGAATTTCTCAAAGATAAAATCTATTTAAACAGTCTGCAGGCGACATTTTTCAAGTTACTTGTGAAGTTAGATCGTAATTGCTCCAAAAGGTTTGCTGATAAATTCAGTCGCACAGTGATCATTTGTTAAAACAGCTGATGGGCCATTTGGAGAGTATTATTCGTAAGCCATAACTCCCATACTTCTTTGTACGTGCTTATAATATAGGCTTAGTTTTACGTGAAAACAACTTACAAGTATCGATTCGGACACCCTATAGATAGCTATACCCACAATAAGTCTACTTTTACATTTGCAGGTATATTTTTCGATTTTTAGATATGTTGTATAGTATATTTATATATTTCTATCCCACTCCACTACTGTTACCATATAGCTCCTTATGGAGATATATCGCCGCCTAGACTATTGACATATATTCAGCTGCTGAAGCAAGTACTATGCTAAGCATGCTTAAGTAGAATACGTTCAACATATTTCCATTAAGATGACATTCAGCAACTGAGTTTAGTCGTACTTCACACAGAGCTTTGCTTCACTCCTTCTGAGTGTAGGCGAACGTACCCGGCGTCTTTTATTCGCATCTCAGGAACCAGGTTATTTTGAACAGTATGATATTCACAAACTTCAGATATGGACTCTGCGACATACATCCCCGTCCCTGTAATGTCTAATAAACAGCTATCTACCTCTTCCGAGCTGCTGCCGGGTCTAGAAGACTGCAGTTGTTCAACTGATAGCATGCCTGCTATACCTATAAAAAGGAAACAAGTAAGGGCTTCCCAAAAGTCGTCATTGTCAAGGTGTAGTTGTGGCAGATCGTGTACTGGGCTGAAGAGACCTGCAAAGAAGAAGAAAACTGTGAAGATGTGTTGCGATTGCCCTTCAAGCACTACAGGTAACTGGTACTTTTGGGCGAGTGGTATATTCTGCCCTAAGAAGGCCCAAAAACTATTGCTTAACATATTCCACTACAAGGTACCGAGCCCATGGGGGAAAGCTAGAAGTAGATAGCGCTAGTTAGGTTGTCTAGGGCTATTAAGAGACAAAAGTCATGCTCGCACCGTGGTTCGCTAATCACAGCGCTATGCTGTTTCGTGCGTTAACACCGCACCATTCTAAAAGATGTCGTAGCACCAGCGCATTTGAACTGCGCTTTGCTTAGGGCTGTCATCACCTAAATTACAGACGCCTGGCAAAAGCTTCATAAGCTCCGGATGTTTGGGTGAAATTGAAATTTGTCTCCGGCCACACCAAATTTTTTTTACAGTAAGAGTAGACAGCTTAATTGTCAATTTTTTATCAATTTTAGCTTGTTAGCAATTCATTTAACAATGTTTGACAAAATCGACATCAGCTTACAGCATAATATGAAATACTTAAGTCATCGGCAATAAAATTATACTGTCTTCTTTCTCAGGCCATCTGGCAAGAAAAATAATTAAGATCACTTTTCTTTCCGGCAATACATGTCATTTAGAAAAATATTACGAGGTTGTATGAGGTCGAACAGAATTCCCGGGAAGAAATTTGTGAATATTTAAATCTAAAGAATTATTATTACAGGATTCTGAAAGGGTAATTAATCATAACCTGTGCACACTCCTCCCCATTTGGAAATAAACAGAATAAACTCACCTGAATACATAAAAACTATAGGGAGCCTAAAGACCATCTACAAAGTAGAATCACGACTACTTAATCCTTCAGTGCCATTAATGCTCCTACGCACGACAGTATTTGTCATTGCTTAGTGAGGGGTGTGTACGTTCAAATAATGAAGCATGTTGCGTTGCTCGTCTTGTTGCAAGTATATTATAAGAAATGTTTAGCAGGTAAGTAAGTGTCTCCGCTGAATGAATACGGATCGAATACCAGGAAGCATTCTCCGGATGCACGAGTTGACTGACCAAATCGGGTGCTCAGACGTTAATTTGTTAATTGACACACCACTTATTTACTTAACACTTCTTCACCGGGTTGGTATCTGGGCCAGATGAAATGAAATGAAACCCTCTACACTAGGACAAATCCGGTCGATCCCGCACGGATGGCGAACGTGGCTTTAATGCAACGCCAATGAACATGCTTGTCTGCGAGAGGTTGGAAAATCTCGAAACTAGAGATACTGACCAAAATAATTATGTGAATTGACCTAAACATACCTCAGTCCGAAAGTTGATAGTTTGCGAGATACAGGGTGTCAAAAATTCAATTTTATTTTCTATTTTTCCTTATTGCTTGAAACATATTTCAGATTTTGGCATAACACTCAGTATAGGTCTAGTTTAGTTATATGCATTTTAGCATACCTTGATCAAACCACTTTCATCTAACGATATATTGGCATGGGAAGATACATGCTCAACTCATATGTATGTCTTAAAAGACCTTCAAAAAATAACTACAAAAAAAAATTTAATGAACCCAAATTTATACATGTATATTACAGGGAACAACTTTACCTCTTACATGCTATCACCAACTATCACAAATTTACTGGTAACGATCAGATAATCAAACGGGTTGTACCTAGACATAACATGTCTATAACACAGCCAATCATAACTTTATTTTGGATCAAAATTTTACGTAAATTTACTTGACGCTTAAAATATAATAGAATGGATATTTTCGTTAGCGACGCCAGACATACACAATTTCATAATAAAAGGAACATCAAATGATTCGCTGATCCGTTATGTCATTATTTGCGTTTTAGTTCTATACATAATTGCAACATTAATGGTAGTGGTAGTGCCAACATTAGCTTTGTATTGTCCTCCATCTCATATCGAAACTAGACGTGAGACTCCATTCCCTGCCCTACCATGGCACGCACCGCTGTACAAGAAGCACCAAGCCGGTGTTGTCGTTCAGACTGATACCCTAAGATGCCTGAGTTGTGTATTAGTGACAAGATATGCATTTTTCAGCATCAAGAACTGAAAGATCCTGTCCGTCTTACGCTTGTGTTCCGGACTCCGTTGGTGACAGCAACCCACAAGGAATAACAATCAAGTATGCAATTACAAAAATAACCACATTTGCAAGTTACACTACCTTCGAAGTCATGAAATGTACAAGAAAGAAGCCTCGATGTATGCCTAGCTCTATTATGGGAGTTTTTGTACTCAAAAACTTTGGCGACTGCAATGGTTGAAAACGTATGGATGCAGTTCAACAAGTGTGCAGAAAATGGTGCTGGTATCAGTTTCATGTAACTACCTAATTAAGATGAAACTTTTGTGAAGCGTAATGTTAGATACAAGATACCATTGCAAAATTCCCTTTTATTTCTCAAATAAAACCACCAGGCTAAATATCAAACTTTGATTGCCAGTTTGTCTGAGCTGATAGTTAGCCCACCCGGTATGATGCTCTTCTTTGCAATGTGCAACCCACTACTATAGTTATTTTCACGTTTTTTTGCGGTAACGTCGCGTTGTCATACTAAATAAGTAAACATATAACTGTGCCATGTGTGAAACGTAACTATCCTAAAGAAAATTGAACAATACGGAAGCCGATCTTCGCAATTATTACTCACCCTCACACGAAAATGAATCGAGTGACGGAAAAGTGTTGCTTTCATTCACTACATGAAGAAATTCCAATAAAAACAGCAACTGTCGACATTTCTGCAGGCACTGTAAAGTTATATCGAAGATTAACAAAAGGTAAGCCAAAAACAGACTCCCATGACAGACAAGTCGACATGCAGACAGTGACAAACATAAGGTCAGACAAAACTAATAAACAGATGTCCATGAGCTCATACAAACGAACGTCCACCTAAACATAACGAAAAATATTCAGGTATAGCCGAAATTTTCTTTAGTGTTATAATTAATCTTTCATACGGTGCACTTCTCACGCTCTCGAACTTATAAATCGTTATTCGATTTGTACCACCGAGATGAACGAAACGCTAGCAGTCAGTCAGTCTAACAAGTGGTTACGTTTGGCAATCAGAAAAAGATGGAGCTTAGTATGTTAAGTTTGTAAGCGATACGTCTCGCCAATAACGTGTTTCTAAGGAATGGCATCTTCAGGGATGAGAGGGAAGGGTGGGTATGGTCCGATTAGGGCAAAATTGACTTATTGCTGGTAGCCGTTGAAAACAATTATCTGGCATTCTTACTACAAAAAATGATGGCCAGAACCACACAATACGACCACCACCATTTGATTGATATAAGGTAAGAATAGACGAAGGTATGGAGGAGGTCCGGAAAGCCTCCTGAACTGCATCCACCCCCATGCCGACACTGCTTGCAACGTCTGATACATTTTGCAATCGGGCAATAAACGGTAGTAGCTAGGAAAGCCGTCTGTTTACTCCCAATTTCCTCTACAGCCTGAGTCGCCGCCACCGCTTTTCGCTCGCCGCTCCGCTGCCATTTATGGGTTATTCCCATGCATGGCGGTGGCAGCCCATCGGCAATGCGAACGGCCCTGCCAGTGGCCTTGAGTATCACCGACAACAATGCGGTGGTGCCAACTTCAGACATCAGTTTTGGGATATATACAGCTTTAATATCTATCAATCAAGCAACACTAGAAACACAGAAAATACAATTACTGGAAATGTTCAAGGTGGACCATAAAACAGGTGTGTAACTGAATAGTTGGTCTAGCTTTCTTTGTGAATGATATTTACATGCTATTTGCGATAGAGTAGAAATTTCTTATATATTAATGCCATCGATCACCAATGCTCGTCATCATGACATAGATGGAAAAGTTTACTACAAAGGAGGTAACATGCCTCGAAAAAAAAATTCCTTCGAATATTTGCGCGTTCCGTGTGTCTTTTATACGATAGTATTGGACAACAAAATCATTACCGACAAAATTAAAAATTCTGACTATACTCGTATGTCACCCATGCTATGAATTTGTCCAAACTGCTGCAATGAAATTTTATCAGCATTTTCACTCCCGACAACGGAGCAAGCGGCAGGTCAACAGCAAACAAATGTAGCCTAGCTGCTAGGCTTCGCCTCCATACCACTTCTACTAGAGGACGTGTGTGGCACAGTATCCGTGAAGACGAGCGGCATAGAGAATGGTCGCATTTAGTTTGAAAAAGCCTGCATTGTGTGCATACCTGATGATGTATTCTGAAACCTGCATTGGTACCAAAGGAGCAAAAAGTAAAATTACCATAGAAGTGATGGGCGGTTAACAAGTCAGGAATTTGGTGTTTAACAGCAGGGGTTGCTGTCATCGGAATTGCAATATTTTACGTAATAAAGGTAATGGTGTACCTCATATTCGTCTCCATAGTTACCCTTCATACATTATGCCATCCGACTCTTGCTAGCCAAGCTGCTCCACGTGTTTTGACGAATGTAAGATGCAACTTATTCTTGACATCGTCTGTGCTAAAGTCTAGTGGATCTGTTTGAATGAAAACTTTCCAAAAACATTACAATTTGAAAAACTTCTACGCATTTCTGCACTTCCATTTATCAATTTAACCAGGTAACATTGGGTGGTATGTATTTATGGCCCATGGTTATTGAACTGGCTCCGTTTCCCATCTGTGCACAGAATACGTTATTTCCTAGTTTTTACATTAGTGTCTCCACTTCCATTATTATCTGCTGGAAAATTCTTAACCAAAACAATGTGCAAGAATGCTTCTTATTGCGAATAATTGACACGTGCATGATTCTCATTTTGTATTATGGAACTGTGCAACTTCTACTAAGGATAATGCTTGAATTCACTCGGGTTCCGTCCGAAGAAAGCCTATAAAGTTGCAGTGAGGTTTTAGCGGTGTATTCCATCAAAACTGCTTTGAGAAAAGCTCGGCAAGGATCATTACCATATCAGAGTAGCAAATTTGCAACAGATGATACTAGTGCAGCTACAGGAATAACCAATCACAGATCCACCTGCCCACTTAGCCCCTCAGTAGCATATAGTATCAAAGGAGAGTGGAATTTCTCAGGCCTCAGCGCGCCCCCTTCCACTCACAAAGGACCACGCGTGCAGGGCAGATTTGATGGTAGTTGCCTTACGACCCGCAATATCACACTTTTTCGGACAGCCCAACAAAAACTGAAAAATAATAAATAAGAAAATACAATAACTCTGTAACGTTAAGAATATAAGATAAATAAATTTTGTTTTGATTGCCTCTTGCTATTCCAGTTCGGCAACATGGCATCCTTCAGTGCATTAATTGCCAAAAATCAGTCTCGCCTGCGGCCAGTGCATGCATGCATTGGCGGTCTGCCTGCTCCGGTTCCACTGTTATAAATGCATCGCTGATTACACCTTCATGCCAAGACGGCGGACAATCCGTGGGTCCCAGACGTGAGGACGTGAGGCTCCATATCCCAAATCCGGGAGATACACTTGACTGGTGTCTCGAGGGACCGGCCGTGGCCCGGTTGAACTGCAAACAATGTTGTCAGATGGGTGGATAAGTACAATATGGTGTCAGATATAATTTTCGTCTTGTTTTCAAGGCAGACGTAACATCTTCCGTACATTTTACTGCTGAACTGTTCAGAATGTAGTAAATTGATTAATTAAAAAAAATTGAGACCCTGAATACTTGCGTTACAAACAGACTCTTCCAGCATATACCAAAATTCAATATAATACGACTCCAAATTAACCATCAATCTCTGCCTGACGATGATTGTATGAAAGTTTGTTAACCACTTTGTCAATCTGTTGGCCTGGTTGTCCAAACACAGACAACGTCTAAGAGAAAGATTCTCTAAAAGACCAAATTTGAAGCTAGAGAGTATTTGGTAGACTTGAAGGAGCACGCCTAATTTCTTATACACTAAGAGCAGCGGACTATATAGAAACTTGCTACCAATTCACACTACAAATTATTGCAATGAGATTTTAGAGCATCCGTTACATACTTCGCAGGTACCTAGGTGCACATTATTTACTGACAGGCGTGATAAATACTTTGTGAATCCAAAATTTGTTAACCAATGGTAATAATTGTTTATCCTAAAGTAGTTGACGGCGATTTCCCCCATACACAACACTCATCCACAGAAATCGCCTGAGTTTTTGAATGATTAGTTTTCATCACCGTATTACCCGTTCCACTACTTTTTCCACCACTCTTTATCCAGTTACGTATAATACTACTATGCCAAGATTTGGTTGCTAATACAGTGTCGTCAGAGGTAGACTATACGGTTACTGCGGCTTGCAACGCTGCTAATGATCAAAGAGTAGTGGACTGATCCAAGGACCAAACCCTGGGAGATACTGGCTTCAATAGGCCGTCTCGTTAGGTATATTGTCTTTCTTTTTCCCTGACACTGCTGATCTCTGGGCAAGCAGGTATCACAAATACGGCTCACTTGGGTTAAACAGTGACCAATCGGTAAAGGCCCGACGGACCTCCAAGGCGAAAAAGCGGATTGACCCTTGAGTTTCTAGGTAACCTTACACGTCAATGATTACTCACATCAATTTCCACTTTAAGCGAGACGGCTTGTAACAGCTGCCAAATAGTGACGTCACGATCTGGCCCTTCGAGGCGACATTGTAACTGATAGCTAAGATCAACAACAACCTTGCACACGTGGTGGTTGGAATGCGGTTCTGAATGTCAAATGTCAACGTATGAATATAACATAACCGTGTGCTATTCCTTTGTGCCTTTTGTGTTTATTTTGTGTCGCCTGTGATGGTAAAAAGTTATCAGTGGAGAAAAGGTGCCAGATGACAATAGGCGTAGAACTACAGAGTTTCATTGGTCTTTTGTGCAGAATTGAAAAAATCAATTAGGTACGTTGTGAATACAATTACATTTATAGTCGTTCACGTTGGACCACAAAGCAGTTGCATGTATCAACCCGGACCTCAGCTCTCTGTTCTGTGTGAGAAGGCAAATAGAATAGAACATAGTAATCAAGGACACCTCTAAGCAATAACCGCCGCTCGCCACGGCTCGTCGCTCAAAATTGCTTCAAGGTTACACGGTCAATAATACGGAAATTCTGTGACCACAGTAAACCACTGTCGAGTGATATCCACATACTGCCACTGTTTCTATACCAGAGGTACTGTGCCAATCCGAGTTCCATCCTGTTGAGATGTATCCGCTCCTCTTCGTACCAATTTCAATCAAAATAAACATTATGTTCGCGGTGTATATTGCCAACACAAATACCGTCCTCAGAATGAATGTGACGACTGTTGAAAGTCAACATTACCTATACGTTTACGTTGCTGCCTCTGTGCCTCGCCTCGAGCGCGTAATTTAGGATGTTATAAAACTTTCATGTCTGCGGGTTTGTAATTTTCTGTAAAATTACTTTATATGGCTGCATCAA